GGAGTTTAAAATCTTAACAGCTTTAAAAAATAGCCCTTTTCGTAAATTATACGGGAGAAACTGCAAATCAACGGCTTTTTATGGCCAACAACCATTTTATGGCATAAGGAACGCACTGTACTTTTTAGCATAATTACATTTTTTTTTAATTTTTACAGTTTATTATTTGACCAAATAAACTATATAGATTCCAAACAAATATGTTTTTAATAAGAAGATTTTTGTTCTGATAAGTGTCAGGAGTATATGTAAAATTTTTAACTGAAAACATTTCACATAACATGTCAACACACTACGGTGTTCCATTTAGTAAGTCTCGGGCGAAGCCGAGACGGGGGGCCGCTAGTTTATATATAAAAATGCATAAACAAATTAAAAAAAAAAAACAGACTTAATTTGGAAAGCACAAATAGAAATTAAAATCTTTGGGCAGATTGTTGGGTGATTTATTCTCAACATCGACAGAATATGTTATTATCAGACGTAACTACGAAAACTGCGAGTTTAAGAGCTCTTATGGAACTTGATCAAATTGATGAAACTAAGGCTAGAACAACACGTAGGAGAATTGTTTTCAGTTTATAGATGATGTTAATGCCATCCATACCTAAGTACATATGTGTACACGCATATGTGTATGTGCATGCAGTGCAGTATAGTTGCAGTCTGCTCTGTCTGCTTCATAACAGTGACACATTCTGCATATTTTAATTAACTAATATTATTCATATGTCTAGGATGGGCATGGATTTTAGGCAACAAGTTTTTTGACAATTTATATCCCCCCTATATTAAAAACTTGACTTTCATTGCTTTATTACAAAAAAAAACGAAGCGCACAAAAAATCTCAAAAAGTTCAGACATGTTTCCAACATGCAATAGATGAATATCTTTACTTAATCTTGGACACAAGCCCTACAAAACGTAGACGAGCAACACTATCTCTACGGAATTTTTAGCACGTGGCTTATCTCGAAAGGAAAGTGCAAGTGATTGAAACTTGAAGCAATGGGTCGACAGATTTTTTCTGCTCGTTAAAGCATGAGGTTAAATATATGTGAGAGAGAAGTCGAGAACAGACTGCAGCGCTGTGCGCTTTGAGTGTAATTCTTACTTTTTGGTATTATTAAAAGTTTTTATAAGGACAAGTATTTTTTTTTTTTTGGTCCCTGAAGTATTCCCGAAATTACTAACCATAACTGCATGTAGGTTTATAAAGATGAAAAGTAGAACATAAATAAAATTACCATATTATGTATTAGTTATGTTCACATAAACTTTAAAAGTCATATCTTTATTTCTACTTTCTTTTCGCATAACTCGTTATATTTATTAGTCATTACAATAACTATAACTTTGCCTTATAATTTAAAATCATCACTTTCTAATTTTGTAACATTTACTGTATATTCATACATACTTTGATTTTAGATCTTATACTTTCTTATCTAATCTGTTTATTATTATGATACTGTGTGAATCTTAACGTTCAATCTAGTATGAATAGAAGCCAATAGACATGGTTTAAATCAGTTTTGATTCTAATAAGGATTGGTTGTATATGTTTCTTTGTACTTACCTTTAGTAACTTCTCCGCGAATAATGTTATGTATATATCAGACGTCTCAACAAGCAAAAAGCCATAATCTGTTGTACTCTAAGCTCTGCCATTACAATACACATACTCTATTTAATGAACACTATTTAATACACTCTATTTAATACACATACTCTATTTAATGAACACTACTTTAAAAACGCCAAGACTTTAAAAAGTTTTATTCCCTCCGTGTTTCCTAACAATTAAATAAAAGATCCTCGCGTACGGCAAGTGCTCGGCTTGACCGTATCACGTAAATTATACGTATCATTCAAAAAATTTTAAAACGATTGTCTAAGTTTTTTTCGGCGCATAAAACAAGTGGAATCTCATATTATTATGATGTGCAATGAAATTAACAGAAGCTAGAGTAAATACAGAAGTATGTAAAGTATGGTACAAAACTGGATGTGGTTTAAAAAAATTCCTATATACCCCAGCCAATAGTCTGAAATTTTTATACGTTATAGTTATGAAAATTGTTTGATTAGTAATAAAAAATTTTTTTTAAACATTACTGAATCAAGCTGATGGGGATACACTGCTTTGCTATCGTTGGTAAGTGCCATTATTAACTGACAGGTGCGCATGGAAACTTTTGTATATTGTGCATTATGAGATATGAGCATGGATCTAGCTATCAACATCAATTTATCGACTACTCCTTTAGTAAGAAAATTATTAGTAGAATAATTACTAAGAAGAACCTGAAATTTTTAAACATTCATTTATAATTGAAAAAAAATCATAATTTGTAGTCATGCACTTAATAAAGATTTTTATACCATTTAAATAATTACCTCAAATGTTTTTTGAGATCCATTAAATATAGTTTTCAACACTTTTTCAATATAGTTACTTGTTTCTTCTAAAAATCTAGTATCCAATACTTCTGCTTCTATTTGTGAAAAAAACAAAAACAAAAAACAACGTTTATTTAATTGCAAAAAATTTATTTAATCATAAAGATGTCTAATTGTAAGTAAATTACAACACAGGTATTTCTATCAGAAATGTGTCCTAGTCTTCGTGACAGACATTAAAGTATTAATTTTTAAGCCAGTGACTAGGGGCCTGCTACCGTGCGCCGTGTATTATTAACTGCGCAAGGTAGATGGTGTTAATTACTCTTTTTACTTTGGTTGCGTGTACCGTACTCGACACACCGTTTTCACTGTAAATGGTATACAGTACATACTGTGCACGGTTTATGGGTACTAGACCGTGTACCGTGGACGTTGAAAATCAACGTTAAATAATGGCAGACTGCCTTGCAATTCACCGAAGGTAAAGAGAGTAGAAATGAAAGAAAGCTCAATCAAAACATCAATGAAGTTAAGATAGCATTATAGCAATAAATAATAATTATTCACACACGTTTACCTGTGTGTACGGAAACTTATGTATGTGTGTACATAAAGTGAGAGAGAGAAAAAAAGAGCATATTGCCTAATAGGGCTTATTTAACTAAGTAAGAAGCACTTAACACCACAAGAGGTACTAGGGCAGCAATATTTGATTATTAGTAAATAGTTTTTCACTGAAAACCAAAAAAGTATGGAAAAACAGACAATATAAATTAAATTATTGTGAGTGATGATTGTTTGTGTAGTAGATTATTTTCTACCAATAATATGTGTAATGCTAAATGTGATGTGTCAAACAATTTAACAATAAATCCAATAAATCAAGATGCAGATTAACATTTCATTGCCATGGAAAGATCAATCTCTAATTTTATATACTTTTTCTACGCCCAAAAGTATCTAACTAATAATGTTAACGCTTTCATTTAAAATTTTACATACTTGATTTTAATGCTTCGTCCTGGCAGATAATTTTCTGTTAAATAATAAAAGTTGCATATTCAATATTACTTTAAAGGTAGCAATTAAGTCTTGAATATTAAATAACAGTCTGATGAAGTAAGTACCAAAAAGATATTACTGTTTCTTTTTTATTTTTTCTTAAACTTTTTTGTTCAGTAGTTTTAAGGCATTTTTTTGCAAATAATTTTTGAAAAAATTCAAGTGATGAACGTCCTCCAAAGAATGTTGGATATTGTTGTGCAAATTTGTTATATTATAAATAGTCACTAGATATTCTTTATCTAGGTAATCTCTTTTTCCTCCGTCTTTTGATTGCATCTAGCTTACCATAGAGTCAACTTTATCGATAACAGAACAGTTGACGAACAATTTTGCAATTACCTTTTTTCAAACCTATGATATTATTTCGCTTACTAACGGCCTTCGAACTTGCGGGATTTTTTCAGGTAGTTATAATTAATAACCAAACAACCTAATGATCCCAATAAAAATTACCTTTAACAGAAGTAAGATGTTAGGTAAGTTTGACGTGTTACAATTACTTAAGTAAACTATTTATTCTTATCAATAGCACGCACCTGTGTGTGAGCTCAGCGCACTCAGGTATTGACTCTCAGACCTAAGACGTGCACGAGCGCGCTCGTTGAGCGACGCTGACATGACTCAATAACATAAGAGGTACAGTTTATTGGACGTTGACGGGTCAGTTATTTGTAGCTACACCTCCACTCTTGAGAAAGTGAAATGTAGTAAAAGGTGGGGACCGGGCTGGTAAATACAACGGTACAATTTTTTTGTTAAATTAATATGCCAATAAGGTTTAAGGGATAGTTAGCTAAATAAAAGAGGACGCTGATATGTAAGTAGTCAATCAGCATTCATTGATAGACAATAGGTGAATAACCAAGGGTTGCTGGTATGGAGTTTCCAAGATATCAAACAAAAAAAAGCAGCTGGCCTCGAGTATTGTAGTTGCGTTTCTCCTACTGGAAGGCTTTTAGATTTTCTGTGGTTTAAGTGATTGGGAAATTATGTGTATCATTGGATGCGTATGTTGTGTAGCTCGCAATTTGTCTGGGTTCTCTGATAAGATTCTTGTCGACCAGGAAAAGAACTGCAGGGTGCTAGCTGGTGGGGTGTGATTCGGTGGCTGGGTGGGTTGCAAGAAAACTGGGGCCAGAACCCCGAGAACTTAGGGTACAGAAGGTCGTAAGGATAGCGGTAAGTAATGTTCGACGGTTTATACAGTGGCTACAGTGTGCACGAGACAGTGAGGGTGACGCGTTTTCGTGCCCTTCACTTTGGGTTAGTGACTTCTTAGAGCCAGGTATAAGTGGATACGTGACACGTGGCTAGCGGTGACTCGTGTCACGAGATGTACTTTGTGTCCTCCTTGAGTGAACCAGGTAGTGGCTGCGAATTCGTGGTAAGTAGCTCCAGGGGTTTGTGGGTAGTAGAGTCTAGAGAGCATTGTAGTGGCTTGTCAAAGGTGAGCCATTGGCACCGGGACACAGCAATCGTATCAGATAGGCCAGACCTGCACAGATGTATGTAGATGTATGTATCGTTGTGCTCAGGGTAGTTGTATGCGTTTGCCTAGTTAGATGGGTTTAACGTTACAAAATAGCCTTCAACGAAAATCAATAGGTGTATTTGTTTACAAAGAGAGAAAAAATTTTTTCTCATCTTATTAGCTAAATTTTGTGGAAAAATGTTCTATCACATTTTATCGATGTAGTTTGTTGCAAAACTAATGTTATACGCATTGTGATGGCCAACGTGGGAGCGTAGTTGGGATGAGCACCAGCCAGCACTTGAAGAAATGAACTCAGGCGTGTTAAATCATGCGCGCTGGCAGAATCATCATTATCTTGGCTTTCTATGATCATGCAAAAAACTATAACCAATACATTAGGAATGATTTCACATTAATCAACAATTTGATTAACAGGCATATAACTCACAGTTCTTCGGGGAATTATAAAGGGAAAATTTTATGGAAGAATTGAGTTTGAACACCAAAGTTAAAAAGAACAAAATATCAAAGTATCTGTCCTGCTTCAAATGTATTATTAGCAGATTTTCTAACCCTCCTTCCTTGGAGACGCAAGTAGAGTTGGCTCTACGTAATCTCTAAGTATTTTATCGAAAGAGTATGGCACAAATAAGGCTGAGAACTTTAGTAAATATAGAAAAATATGTCAGAACGAATGAAAAAGAATTAGATTTCGATGCAAGGCATGTTCCCCTACCTCTAGTTGAGAAGTCAAGAATTCCGACTGCGGCAGATTTTAGACCACAAATTAAATCGGCAAAAGTGGCTGTAGCGGAAGAAAGCCAGTAAAGTGGCTCTAAAAATAAAACCAACAAAGAAGAATTAAGACTGGAGACTCCGTTCAGACAACGATGATTCCTTCGAGAAACATACCAAATCCTAAACCATAGAATGTAGCACCTCAAGGAAAGGAACAAAGTAGCTTTTAATCCAATTAAAACGATGGCTTATGTTATTTGTGAAAGGAAACAGGTAATCGAAGAGCTCAGGGCCCTAGCAACTGCTTTTTGCAATTAAAAGCTCCAGGACATAGAGCAAAGGAATGCCCACTAAATATATCATATTTGCAATTATCATATCAGGTATGCAGGACATCGGGAGTTATATTTGCAAACTGTCTGGATTGTGCAGATATGCGTAAGTTTTTGGGAAATGCGTGGGTGGAAGAACAATAGAGACCCCTGTTTTCTTACCAAAATTAGTCGAGTCCCAGCAGATAAATGAAGCCGTGAGAGTCGATAAACCTGAACCAAAAAATCCGTCGACATCATTAACAGGGCTAGTTCAGGAGAATTCGATACTCACGTCTAACTTACTAAAAAGCTCATCACTCATGGCATTAGGTTTTGATAGTAACTATGAGGATTGTATTGAGTAAGTGGCGAAAAAGGGCTGGTTACTACGTTTTCCTATGCCTGGGGATCGTAAGAATCCTGTTAGATTATGGCTGTTAGAATTTTGTCAAATTAGTAGCTTGTTCTGGCTCAACCAACTTTAAGGAGATCACCTTGAAGTTTGTAAATAGTAGAGATAAGAAAATATCGATAAGTCCCGTATTTTTATCTTAGGAAGAGGCAACGGCCGTAGTAAATACGGCTGAAAGTAGTGAAGTGGCCAGTGCGAATTACATACCCAGACGTCCGTTTGCTCGTGTTTCTTTGTAACCCAAAGAATATGATACGATGATCGATTCTGGAGCTGACATTCCGTTGGCAGGGCTGGCAGTGGCTGAACAATTCAAAGACCATCTAAGAACAGCAGGCATTGACTGTGGTAGGAAATGGGACGTCACTGTAGGCTGGAAAAAAAAGTACTAAAAATCCTTTGACGATCCGTGGTATATGTTTGGGTTCAAACTAAGGACGTCGGGCTTTTTAATGGCTGAATGTGCTGGAATAACAATTGTACCAACCTGGCGCAAAGGAAACCACTATCAAGAAGGCAGATCCTCCAGAGTGAGGCCCTCCCATTGTACTACGGTTGGGTTGACCCCTGCGAATATCCCTAAAGTGGATAATTTGGGCGTATTATTTTTGGTACAAAATACTTTGGGATGGAAAAGACGTACGATAGAGTGGCTAAAGAATATTTCTGGACTGGCATGTGGAACGAAGTCTACACGTTCGTTAAACAATATCTAGTATGCCAGAAATATAAAGTTTCGCTGACTGGACCCCAGGACTTGATGGGCTCGAGGATAATGGAACGCCTCTAGACAGTAGTGGCTGCTGATGTGATGGAGCTGCCTCCTAGTAAGAGCCGGTACGAATAAATTGTGGTTTTTCAGGATATGTTTACCCGTTGGATAAAACTGAAGGAACTGTGTAAGGCTAACGGAAAAAAAAATTGCCATTGTATTCCAGGAACTTGTACTGTTCCGTTAAGAAAAGTTGGAATATTCCTTGATCGACCATAAGAAGGAGTTCTATAATAAATGGCCAGTAGAGGTATTGATTGAGTATGGGTGGCTCACGTAACTACATCTCCTTATCATTCTCAGGCGAAGCTGGTGAAGAGGGTTAATAGAATGTTCAACATGACGATCACCAGGTTTATAGAGGCTGATCATCGTTCTTGGGACGTGTATCTGCATGAGTTCTGACATGTAGTTAACACGGATGTACAGGCATCCATTGAGGTTTTACTAGCCTTTCTTAATTTTAGTAGGTAACCTGGACCATTTCAAAGCTTGAGACGAGAGGTAGAGAGGAAAGCGCCGATATTAGAAGTGGCTCTCGAAGTTTGGCCTGATAGGCTAAAAAGAGTGAATGCATTACGTAACTAAATGGCTAAATTTATTAATAAAGCTCATAACAGATTGTTCGCTTTGACTCGATGTCTCAAAAACTAGAAAAATTATAGAGTCTACGGTAATTTAGAGTATGTGGAAGCGTGTTTAAATTAATGAAACTATAACAATTAAAATTGTCATCCCTTATTTGTATAAGCCAGCATAACGGATTTATTAAATGATTGAAATAAACTCCAAACATAATCCATAACAATTAGCAAAATATATGTACAATAAACCCTAATTATAAGCTCTTAATAGTGTATAAGCCATTTATGGTGTTCCTTACAAAGAATTTGTGCGGATAGCAGGCAAAGCTGGGATCAGGCTCTTTTAGCGTAACACGGCTTAAAGTAGAATTTTGAAAAACCAACGAAGTCGCAAACTCAAAACAAGTATCTGACCCTTTCGGCGGTCGAGCGAGGAGAGAGCTCGAGCCTCTCAAAATTACTCGTATCGATGTTTAGCAATGCCTTTCGTCCCCTTCTCGCAGGCCAGAATGAGTTAACCATCTCTGTTTATCTAAATACCATTATCAATAAAATACAAGCCAATATCATATACATTCAACGCTAGACACCCTCTGCAGCCTCGAGCCTGAACGCAGATGAAGTATTAGAATAAGGGTATAAAGTCTGCTATATTTTCTGTGGGTGATTAGGTTAATTGTAAGACTCATCCTTAGTCTAGTTCCACCTACTAATTTTCAGCTGAACTAACATCAAGGTATGAGGGACCGTTTACCATAGTTGAGTAGAAATTTCCGGTCGTATACGCTTTAGATATCGGAATAAGTGTTAAGCATGCTAAGGTTCACGTTTCATAATTCAAAAGATTGTTCCCCGAAGAAAATACATAACTATAGCAATAAATTTTCGATTGGTTGGGTAATAGGGGCTATTAGGAACTCTTTATTTTTATGTTATTAGATAGAGGCTGAAAGGATCCTTACAACTTACACAGTTCATGAGTTTTTTTTTTTTTTTTTCTTTATGAGCACACGGTGGCTCGGTCGGCTGGCTTGCGGGTTGGGCCACGGGAGACCGCAGTTCAATTTTGGACTAGTCCTGAAGCAAGTACCTCTGTAAATTTTCATATGTACTATTTCACCATGCAAAGCTCCTCGTGAAGAGATGGGCGACCTTCTCGCAAGCGAAATGGTTTCTCACTTAGATCCTTCGCTCTCCAGGTGGTCAATGTAAAATCATCACTGTACCAGCGAACTACAAACTACTATTATTGTATCCAATGTTATTAAAAATGTAACCAAGAATATAACATGTAACCATTATTTGTAATATGTGACAAATATAATGTAGAATGTACCTTACTGTAACAAGGCTATATGTACTTATTTACAATAAAGCCTAAAAATAAATACGCTATGTAAATAGGTATTTATTTTTAAAAAAATCTGTTTTTGAGAAATCTATTACTATTTGCAGTTTAGACGTAGGATTACAATGGAGCCGCAGCGTCGAGTACACGCACGTGGGTGATTGTATGTGGTGAATCCCAAATATTTAGTTGTACGTGCTTGTGTGTGAGCTCAGCGAACTCGGGTATGGACTTTCAGGCCTACATCACGCGCGCTCGCTTATTAAGAGACGCTGATGTGACTGTATGGCATGAGAGGTAGTTCGTTGGTCGTTGGCATGTAGGTCACTTGTGGTGACGCTTCCATTCTTAAGAAAGTAAAACGGACTAAAACGTGGGGACCAGGCTGATAAAGGCGCCAGTATGATTTTCCGGTTAAATCGATATGCCAATAAGCGTTAAGGGCTAATCAAATAAATAAAAGAGGTTGTGGTGTTTTATCAGCCAACCAGCAATCGTTGATTGCATTGTCAGAAGCGTTGGCTTTGTGGTAATTCGTGATTTGTCTGGGTTTTCTCACAAGGGTTATGTACATTGAGAAGAGTACTGCAGAATTTTGGCTAGCTAGTTGTGATCGAATGACTGCGTGGGGCCAAAGCTGCATAGCTGTTTAAAGCTTGGGAGCACTGTAATAACTTGTCAAAGGTGAGCCTGTAACATTAGGAAAAATAAATAGCTGTGCGAGGGACTTTGGACTGCTGCCTGGGACACAGCAGGCATATCAAAGGGGCGGGAGCTGCACCGCTGTCTATGGCGTTATGCTCGAGGTAGTTGTATGCGAGTGCCTAGCTGGCTGCGTACAACGTTACAACTGATATAAATAGGCAGACAAAAATAACAACAATACTCGTATAATTATCAATGCTAAAAGGCTAACAGGATCTTAACAGGCTTTCACTTTCAACATGTCAGCGCCACCTTAATATCACTCTTTGGATGAAAAAATTTTTATGTTTATGACAGTATTGTATTCTTAAGAACATGACTTCCATTGAACTAAGTAAAGTTTGTAAATATATGGACTGAATCATAGGCGGAATAGTTGTCCATGAAGTGTGTTATTTTAGCACCTACATGATACAATATTATTGTATTTATAAATATTTGTACATAGAAATTAAGTGTTACTCATATCAAATTTTCACTAAGTTGTATTTCGTTATAATTGTAGATTTTAATCCTGAAGAGGCTGTCAAAAAGACAGCGAAATATTGATAGATGTAAATAAATTATGAATAAATACTCATGCTCCAAACTACCAAGTACGTATTTCAATATCATTACTTTAAATAATTAATCAGTTCCAATTACTGTTAGTTACTAAGACTTATAAAAATAATTAATACAATTCAGCAATATTTGAATTTTATACAGGACCACATATCAATATAGTACTATAATATCATAACTTGTCTTAATAATATAATTAAAAAAGACAATAGTCTGTTTTCAATTACAAGGATACAAATCCAATAATTAATAACAAAAACGAGCATTAAAGCTGAATAAATTTACATGAGTTTACATACAATTTAAAAACCAGTAAATATTACAACGCTATTTTACGGGATATCGTGGTATATTTATTTTTTCTTTTAACGGTCGCATATTACACGCCTATTGCACTCTGTGTTACGTGTATATAAATTAAACAATGCTAACGCATGCAAGAATCGCCCGAGCTGAGACACCTGCATGACTAAACTGCTATCCTCTACTCCCAAAAGGATCTACATCGATTCGCTACTCACTTACATTTGCAAAATGAGTTGAGATATCCTGCCCGACGATCAATTTCACGAACTTAGTCACCGGGCACTTAAATTCTAAATTAGTCGTCTTTACCTGGACGATCCTCACCTATTTGCATATAACCTTTTACCGAATAAGTTATGTAAAAATTCAGCTATTTTACAATAAGTTGCGGCTTTAGGAAGCATTTTTTTATCCAACTGAACTCCCCTTTTTTCGTTCTCTCTCTCTCTGTTCCACCTAGCCTTTCCTACCTATCTTACTTCATCGGCTGCTCTCACCCTCTTTCTCTAACAACAGGTGAACCACGAACAGAATTAAATGGCATATTTCAAATTCATACGGTGTAAAGAAGTACTTCTTTTTTACAACATATGAATGTATACAGTTTTATGACGGAATCTGACTAACTGTCGGTTTCTTCGTGCTTTCCGTCATCAAGTACGTCATTTTCTTGAATAAAATGAGAAAAAAACACCCTTAGTGTAAAGGCAATGTGATTGAAGCACGCTCCATTGTGTAATTGAAGCTCGCTCCACTCAGATGTGAACTGAATCCATTTTCTAATTTTTTTTCCAGTTTTCATTTATTTTATCAATCGTATAAACTTTTTTATCATACTTCTTTATAAAAAAAGATATCTGGCAAAAAAAGATGGTTTTCAGACTAAAAATGACTACAGTGTTAGTTTATGAACTATTGGTGCCAATTAAAGCGGTTATATCAGAAAAATCAATAAATATGTCCGAAAAAGCGTTTTTATTTTTCTTCTATGTCCCGCAGCTTAAAAAAATCTAAAATAATTCATGATAATGAAAAAAATATAATATAAGACATACATTTTTTTCGGCGCCGCACCTAGACAGGTTTTTAAAAACCGTCTTTTTTAAAATTTCAAACGTCCCTCAAAATTTAAATTTGGCGCTAAAATTTTTAAGAAAATTCATGTATATTTTAAACACAAAAATACAACTTGACAATTTTTTTAGATTTTTTCATGCTTTAAATATCGAGAAAATTGAGAAAAACCGAAAAACACGTTTTTGGGTCCCCAGTGATCCCATAACGGTTTTTGAGGTCTGAACAAAATTTGAAAAAATTTTTTTTCCAAACTTTGTCGACATGAATTTTTTCAGAA